CTGGACATCAAAAAAAAAAAAAAGGCCCTCTTAAAAAAAGCAGGGTTCAGAACAAAGCAGAGAGTTCCCAAATGATTAAATTAAGCAGAATCCTTAAAAGATGAGTATTTGAGAAACATGTAAAGAAACATTCAACCTCTCTAGTTATCAGGGAAATGCAAATCACAACTACTTAGAGATTTTGACACCATTTTGTCACTAGTCAGAATGGTCAAGATCAATAAAACAAATGACAGCTCATGCTGGCAGGGAGAGGAAACTTATTCACTGCTGGTGGGAATACAAACTTGTTCAGTCACCATGGAAATCAGTGTGAAATTCCTCCAGAAGTGGGGAATAGATTTACCTCAAGATCCAACACTTGTGATGGCTATTTCTGCTGGGAACTTGACTTCATCTGTGCAAGATTTTTCTTAATCAAATCATTTGAAGGAGAAAGATCCACCTTTAATCTGGATCTTTTGAAGTTGGAAGACCAGCTGAGACACCCACCTTCATGGACCGAATAACTGCTGGATTCTTGCATTTTCTATTGGTGGACAGTCATAGTTGGACTAACAGGACCCCAGCCTGTAATCCAGTCTAAATCCCATACATGTATATAATCATTCTACCAGTTCTGCTCCTCTAGAGAACCCTGGCAAACACACCATTCTTAGGCACATGCCCAAAAAATGATTCTATGTTTGCTGCTGTTCTACTCATAATAGCCAGAACCTGGAAAGAGCCTACAGATCCATCAACAAATGAGCACGGCAACAAAAATGCAGTATATTTGGTGAAATAGTCAGCTGTTAGAATGAAACTATAAAATTGTTAGGTAAATAGATGGTGCCAGAAACAATCATCCTGAGTGAGAGAAGCCAACACAAAGAGAGGAACACTGGATGTCTTACTTATATGCAGAGGTTAGCTTCTAAGTGTTCAATGGGCACATTACAAACTGTATAACCAAAGAGGCTAGCTATAGAGTAAGGGACTAGGAGGAGGGGAGATTTCCCAAAGAAAGGGAAGCAAAATATATAACTATGAAGAGATGGGAGTGATGGGGACACTGGAATGGGAGAATTAAATGGGGTGGGAGAGGGGGATAAGGGAAGGAAAAAAAAATGGGCAGGGACACGTAACACTAAGGGCCATGAGGAGTCACACAGAAACCTATTACAGCAGAAAGAAGTCTCAAGGAAGTCACCAAGTGGGGAGATAATGCCCCAACTAGACACCTTTGTCACCAAGGGAAACCTCCAGTGCCAGAAATGGGCTGCATTCTAGTTGAGTTGTTAGCTGAAGTCCCCCCCTCCATGGAAAATCCAAACTACTCTGGCTATTTGGTTGCTCCCCACAAGCTAATGGTGAGGCCCTCTTACTGAAGACAGCCCTCATCTATCTCATCTGAGTACAGAGAAGTCAAGCTGGTGCCCAACTAGAGCCTTCATCCCTACTGACTGACTGGTGTTCGTGGCACTATACTCTGCATGCTGCGTCAACTACAAGCCCTGTGTTGTGCAATAGAGACATGCCTGCAGACACACTGCTGCAATGGTGGCACAGATGTCGTTCATGGGAGTGACCAGCAAGTATCTGACTGGACTTAAGTCCCACTCCATAGACAGAACCTGAGACAAGACAGGCCACAGGCCTAGGGAAAAAACAATTACCACAATTCTGCTGAAGAAACACACATTCTGTTATAACCTTAGATTAGTACCTAGCTCAGCCATCACCAGAGAAGCTTCCTCTCACAAACGGCAACTAACACAAAAACTCCCAACTGGATAATATGCAGTGCTGGACTTTGGAACACTCAGTCCTACATGGAAAGTCTTCATTGAACCCATCCCCTGAGGCTTGGGGCATCTATGTGGAACATAAGGCAGAAAGGCTGTAGGAACCAGCAGGAATGGATGACTCCAAGGAGACAGTCTCCTTCAGATCTAACAGAAGAGATGTAGAGATGAACTCCCAGAGGACATTTTAACAAGAACAAATACATGTGATTCATATTGGATATAATTGTGTAAACCTGAGAAGATGTTTGACTTCTCTGATCTTATTCTTAATCATTTCAACAAGTGAATCTTTCTTCTCTACCTCACAGACTGCTGCCAAACACTAAAGGGCATGATGAATGTGGAGGAGAAAGAAAATGAATTATAATTGTTATACATTTGCTGAAGACAGAGACAAAGATACACTTGATATAATCCAGCTAGCTGAAACTGTCACCAACGTGCATGAAAATTTAAGATGTGTTGTAGGAAAAAATTAGGTATGCACACTCTATAAATTACTTTCCTTTGCTGAGGAATCCCTTTATCAATATGCTTTCTTTGACTGTAAGCCACAGAAAACCATGCCATGTTAAATGTATGCTAAAAAGTTGGCTCATTGGTAGAGCCCTTGCCAGGCATGACTGACCTCAGTCCAATCCCTTGAACCCATGATGGGAGGAGAGAATGTGCTCCTAAAAGTGTGCCTTAACTACCACACATGCGCTGTGTGTGCACACCACCACTCACATGCCACACATGCGCTGTGTGTGCACACCACCACTCACATGCCACACATGTGCTGTGTGTGCACACCACCACTCACATGCCACACATGTGCTGTGTGTGCACACCACCACTCACGCACACAAATCTACAAAAAGGGCTTTAAAAGTTGGACTATGGCATCAGCTTTGCTCCCTTGATGTCTGTGGCCCATATTACCATGGAAGGCCATGAGGATGCCCAAAGGCTGTGCTGTAGCTTGAAGCCACATTAATGTCTGTAGGCCTTGCTGCTGCCAGGAATCATCTTGCTCTGAGTGTCCTCTGCTTCCACCTGATGCTATGGCGATGTCTGTATCTGGGCCCATCTGGGCCTATGCTGCTACTGAGGGCCATGCCTAGGTCTGGGGTCCTACTGCAGCTATAGTCTGTGTTGGTATCTGTGGCCCACGTTACTATCAAAGACCATGCATATGTCCGTGGTTTGTACTGCAGCTGGAACCCATGCTTTTGTCCATGGGCCATGCTGTCTCAATGGCCTTATCTGTATCCATGATCCTACTGAAGCCAGAGTTATGTTTGTGGTCTGTGCTGTCACCAGCAACTGTGTGGAGGCCCCTGATCCACGCTCCTACTGACTGGGAAGAGCAAGGATTGTGATCTATACAGGTACGTAGTTGAGAGGGAGGGACATGGAAGGCTTCTGTGACAACTACTGCCCCCTGTAAGCTCCCCTACAAAAAGAGTAACAGCCTAGACAGGAAGCTACTGAGAACTCTTTAAAAGTGTGACAGGGATGCTGAAGTGTAGGTCTCCACAACTGATGGCCTCCGTGGGGACTGAGGAGGGAAGGACTCAGCTCTATTTGAGAGTTTGCTGTGCTCCAGTGAGCACAGATGACACAGCCTGGACTTGTTTACTTTTTTTGGAGGGGAGGTCACAAGGGTTGGGGGCAGTTACGGAAGAACTAGGAAGTGAGTATGATCGGGGTACATGATGTAGAAGTCCCAGAGAATCAATATAAATGTTTTAAAAAAAGAAAATTTGACTTTACATTCTGTAATAATGTCATAGACTCATTTAATACATACAAATATGAATAAAATATACATGGAAACTTAATCTCCAAGGTTTACAACAATTGAATATATCATGGAGATTCAGGTCACTTCATTTCTAAGAGAAGTCTGAGAGACATAAAAATAAAGCATATAAAAAAGGTGGATTCTAAATCAAACAGTATCATTTGTATCATTCCTTAATTTAAATTCTCACCGAATTCAGTTTTAATAGAATATACTGACAGTTTTAAAAGTAGATGTCTAAAGTATATGAAACAGGCCAGGCGGTGGTGGCGCACGCCTGTAAATCCCAGCACTTGGGAGGCAGAGGCAGGCGGATTTCTGAGTTCGAGGCCAGCTTGGTCTACAGAGTGAGTTCCAGGACAGCCAGGGCTATATAGAGAAACCCTGTCTCAAAAAACCAAAAAGAAAAAAGAAAAAAAAAGAAAAAGACAAACAAACAAAAAAGAAAGAAAGAAAGAAACAGGTAATAAACCAGTTTCTGAAATTAACACAAGGCAGCTACTCTTGAAGAGATGTGGCTTCTGCCAGTTCAACCTTTTCTATTCTCAGAGGACATTTTAAGTTCACCTCAAAGGAAAACATCTTATCAGTCTGGTGGACAGATCTTTCAAGTTGTTTTGTTTTGTTTTTTTTTTAGATTTTTAAATTTTTATTTATGTATCTATGTGCACTGGTGCCCATGAAGTCCAGAAGAGGACTTCAGGTCCTCATACCTGGAGTTGCAGGCATCTGTGCACTGTCCAATATGGGTACTGGAACTGGCATGGGGTCCTCTGGAGAGCAGGAAGGTCCCTAACCACTGAGCACTGGGCTAATCTCTCCAGGCCCCTCCAGCTGTATTTCAACACTGATAATAAAATGTCACAAACTGGTATGCCTTTTTGCTCCTCTTACCTAATGAAATTTTAAGCCTGCCACTTAAAATATCCCATAATCTGAATATGCCCACTATGAACTATGTCTTCCCCAAATCAGATGCTGAAGCTCCAACCTTCAGCATGCAGAGAAGAGACCACTGGGAAGAGATAAGCTTAAATTAAGCAGAGGCTGGAGCCTGGGTAGGACAGACTAGTGTTCAGAGAGACATCACGGAAATCCTTTCATACAATACAAATGGCAAAGGCCACATGAGACACAAGGAGCACCTGTCCACAGCTAAGGAAGCCTTGCTGACCCCTGAACCTTCACAAGTGTGAGAACTTGTCTGTGGTACTTCAGTCACTCAACTCTGTTTCAGGGCCTGAGCAGAAGACCTTGATTACCAAGTGACCTCTTCTGTCTTTTGTTTCAGAAAATGTCATTTCTGAAGTTTTACCATCTAAAACACATTTTACTGAACACACAGGAAGAGTGCCATGTGTAAGTGTCACCTGTAATCACGTACAGTCACGCTGACTCATAGAACCATTATGCTTACTCACCCTTGAAGAGTAACACACTCTTGGGAGCTTTCAGCCCAGTAGCCACTCAGCATTGCGGCAAAATAGCTCGACCTGGCACTCAAAACAGCCCTGAAGAGAGAAGATGAAGACAGGTGAGCATTTCCTGCTGTGCAAATGGTGGTCTTACAAAAGTTTTCAATTCCACCTCTTTAAACACAATCTTATTTGTCTTGTTTGTAGTCGCTGCCTTGTTTGTTCTTCCTATAACAAAAATTATAAACATAGTTGTATCTAAACATTTTGTTTGTTTAAAACATTGATTCAAAAGCCAGTCTTGATAACACACAGCTGTACTCCACACTTGGAAACCTGAGGCAGGAGGATCCAAGTGAACTCAGCTACCTCATGAGAGCCTGTCTCTAAACACAAAGTCAGCAAACACATTAAAGTCAGCAAAGCACCAAGTACAGTGCCCTTACTATCACTTAAATAGTTCTGTTAAAAGAGCTTTATATTTACAAGACTAAAATACTATGCCATCTGCAGATGGAGAAATAAAGATCAGATGTGCTCTTATTGTGGGTTAGAGAAGGGTGGATCTCTGTTGGTGACATGCTGCTATCACTGTTGAAATGTAGCCATGTATACCTTAGCAACTTGCAGAAACATCAACAAGAAAGGGAAGGGGCTGAAGACACGGCTCAGTGGTTGAAAGCACTGGCTGCTCTTGCACAGGCCCTAAACTAGGTTCCCAAACTCACAAAGCAGCTGACATGCATCCATTGTCCCAGTCCTAGGGCATCTGACATCCTTTGACAGCCTGGGGGCACCAGGTACACATATGGTGCACATACATACACGTAAGCCAAACACTAATACACATAAAAATAAATTTTACAAAAAGGCAAAGAGGTGGAAATCGCTGTAAATGATTTTTTTAAAAAGATAGACTTTTCAATAGAGGTTCTGAGCTCTAATTTAGAATTCACAGCAGTTGTGTTTGAGGAAATGACAAAAGAGATTTTCTTTTGAATTTTCCTGTCTTTTCAAATAAAATATTAATCAACTATTTATTCCCAAATTCCCACTGAGCTTACCTGTATTGGGTTTTACTCTATCTAAGCATTGTGGCTGCAGCATTGAGTCCAACATACAGAACAGTGTTGCACTCTGGTGGAGCATGGGCAGGACAAGTGGAGGAGGAGAAGGAAGGGGAGGGCACGCTGGCGATGCCTTACTCACACACCTACAAGCACACACACACACACACATGAGAGAGAGAGAGAGAGAGAGAGAGAGAGAGAGAGAGAGAGAGAGAGGGGCTAAAGCAAAAGAAGACTCCAGCCCTTTATTTTCTTCTCTTAACCCTTTTTATACTCCCTAAGATAGCTTTTCCATGTAAGAAGAAAATTACCTCATAGTCACAAGTTACACATTTTTCAAAAACAATCTCCATAAAAATGTATTTCAAAAACTAATTAAAATCATTACACAAAAAGAAATTACAACAGATATTTATTGATTATGTGTCCTCCTTTTGAAACTTTTATCTAACTAAACATTTCTTTTTCTCTTCACAAGCTCATTGTAACCCCAAAGCAATAATTCTCATGTCATAGATCAACAAAATTTAAGCAGGTCAATTTTTTTTTTTTTTTTTTGGTTTTTCAAGACAGGGTTTCTCTGTGTAGCCCTGACTGTCCTGAAACTCGATCTGTAGACCAGGCTGGCCTCAAACTCAGAAATCCGCCTGCCTCTGCCTCCCAAGTGCTGGGATTTACAGGCGTGCACCACCACCACCCGGCTAAGCAGGTCAATTTTATAGTAGCAAGTTTCTTCCTATACTTGGCTGACAACACTCTGTACTTATTAAGGAACAGGTAATCTGTCTTACATCTTATTTTTGAAGCTTTGATGAGGTGAACTGGTTAATCGTCTGTTCTTATACTCATACTAGAATTGTTTACTCTTTACTCATAACCTTTATATTTCATGATACACACTGAAAACCTGTGACCACAACCCTAGACCATAAGATCAGGCCCAATCACTGGACTGGACCGCTGTTGTTAGATACATCATTAGAGGAAAGGCAGAAGATACAATGGAGCCTTAAGCATTTGAAACTTCTGTGCCAAAATGAGCAGAAATCAGGAGGGTGAGAGGCAGGGCAGCTTTTCAGCAATCTTCAAAGCTTGATAGCACACTATTACAACTTGGGCACACTAAAAAGGAGTTTTGGCAGACAAACCAAGGATTCAAACTCTAAGATGAAGAGTGGTTAGGAAACAGATATGTCCTTATAATGACAGCTTTGAATCAGTCAATCTCTGACTAGAACAAAGTTGTAGTGATGATTTATTTAAAAACTTAGTTATGTGAATGTGTTTTTGTTTTAGTCCCAGATGTGGGATGAAAGACTGCTTCACAGCAGGTGATTAAGATTTGCTTTGTGCACTAGCAGGGGCATGATTTTTGCCAGCTGCAGATAGTTTAATTCTGGAGATTCTGGAGAAGGTATAGATAGGAAGGCCCTGAGAGGGCCTGGGTGGCTACTGTCTCCCTACTGCTGTTCTGATCTCCCTGCTGTTGCTGTTCCCCCTGCTGCTGACCCTCCTGCTGCTGCTGCGTTTACTATTGCTGGCCTACTGGTTTGCTGGTTTGTTCATCTGTTGTTTGGAGATATTCTGACAATGATGATTGGACTTGCCCCTAGGAACATGAAACCCCAAATCAGCAAGAATTAGTCTAAAGAGGACTATACCACCCGTCTTCTCTAACCTTCTTTCTCTCCTATCTAGTGTTGGGGGGGGGTGTTGGACTGGCATGGTGGAAGGAGGGACTTGATTCTCACAGACTGTCTTCTGATCCCTACCAGCACGCCATGGCAGACACACGTGCACATACACACTAATAAGTGCAATTTTAAAAGAATGTAAGGTAGACAGCAGCAGAGGAAGATGCAGGAGGTTGACTTCTGACTTTCCCAAGTGTATCTACAGGAAACATACTTGTAAGGAAATGCAACACACACACAAACACACACACAGGGAAAGAAAAAAAAGACTTGTAGTATCAAATCAATGATCTAAGAATTTTGATTTAATACAGAAGCCAGGCATGGAGCGCATGCCTGTAACCCAAGCATTGGGAAGGCAAAAACAGGAAGAGAGTGACAAGGTTGAGGCCAGTCTACATAGAGAACTCAGATCCACCAGCTAGGATTACAGAGCAGGACTTTATCTCAAAAAGCAGAAAAAAACAAAACAAAACATAAGGTAGGATAAAAGTAGAGTCTGTAAAGTATGACTGAGTCTACATGGACAGATTACAAATATTACAGTTTGTGATTCCTTCCTAAAGCAAGTACGTCAACAGTACGATTTTAAATTGTAAGATGTCTGTAGTAGCTCACCACTGAACTGTATAAATGAAGTCTTAAGTTCCTCACTTGCCCCTTTTTACGTCAACCCCAGTCTATAGAGATGATCACGGTTAGCAGTGCACTGGGAAGTCCTTCAGGACGCCTGCCCACCTGGACAGCCTAGTCTCCTACAATAATCTCACTGAAGGACCAGTGTGTGCACCGTTCCACTCTGTATGCATCGCCTTTACCCCTTGTGGACCTCGGGCTCAGCAGCGCACAGTCTACGAGTGTGCATCCATCAACTGTTACACAATAGTTTTTGAGACAGGTTTGACTAAGTTTCTTAGGTGTATCTTGAACTGGCTGGTTGGGATGGGATACAAACACCTGGTGACTCTGCTGCCTCAGCCACCTGAGTGCTGCAATTAGATATATACCACCAAGCCCAATCCATCCAAAAGCCATAATGAACAATACCATTAGAATTCTATCAGTCTATCAACACCGTTTATCTGGCTAAGCCTAGCAACAAAGTCACACAGATACACAGCATGTCATGACTCTAGCGTGGACAGTCATGAGAATGTCTCTGACCACCGACTTGTGTAACACACTCTGAAATCTAAAGCACACTGATCCCAAGGCCACCTGCTGAGTCTTTCTTGACATAACTGAGCAGAGTGGAGGAGAAAGGTGCCTCTAAAGGTCTGGGTGACGGATGTTTCTGATGGGTGACTACTTCGACATTTTCCAAGAGCCTGTAGGAATGTCCCCAGACATATCTTGCAGCCTAAGGTGCACACAGGCCATTCCTTCTTCCAAGGTCAGATCAGCACTGGAGTCCGACAACCTCCAGGCTCCTCTGGCTTCCCCCATGCTCATATTTACTGTGCATACCTCCTGCAATCTAATCTAACCCTGTGTCTGCAACACAAGATTTGAACTCTCACAACATGTTAGCTAGCTCTCTCCAGAGAAAGCATTAAAAGCATCTGAGGCATAAGTGATTACTCTGACCTTAAAATAGAAACTTAGAAAAGACTCCTTTTTAATTAGGACATCTGCCTCTGGTTAACCAGTGCTGTAGATGGCATGGTATATTAAGAATCTTTGCAACATCCTTTTTAGTTTCTAACATGTCAGAAACTATTTTCTTCTTTTTGACTAAATTTGATCTCAACTGACAATGCTGCTTCCGGCTGTACCCAGATGCCCTCATTTCCCCCTTACTGCTGCTTCAGTACAGTGCTAGTCCACACTGCCTAATGTTAGCTGAACTAGATTCACTATTCCATGCAGAACAATGGCCGGGATTGCTCACAAAGACTCTCAAGGAGAGAACTTTTAAGTCCTCCTGCTTTAACGGAGGGAGGTGGGGGAAAAAAAGTAGATCTTGCCTTATTTAGCTCCACGTAACTGATTAAGGCTCAAACCCAGAAGAGTACAGACACTTTCTGAGGACATCACCATTGTACACTCTACTTTGTGACACATATTTTAGAGAACATCTTTTGATTGCAGCTTCCATGGAACAGCCTTTTGAAGTTAAATTGTAAAGTATAATAAATCCCCTATCTGCTGATACAATATAGCCAACTTCACAGTCGATTACTCAAAACTAGCTGAGCAGTGGTGGCACATGCCTTTAATCCTAGCACTAGGGAGGCAGAGGCAGGCGAATCTCTGTGAGTTCAAGGCCAGCCTGCTCTACAGAGCAAGTTCCAGAACAGCCTGGGCTACACAGAGAAACCCTGTCTCAAAAAAACTAAACTAAGCTAAACTAAAACTTATCAAAACTCAGGATTTCGAAACAAGCTGTGTACACCCCAGATATCACAGATCTGAAGTGAATGTGCAGGGTGGGGAAGGTAACTCAGTGGCAGAGCTCTGGGTTCCATCCACAGCACCTCAAGAAAGGTCCCTCACATGTTTGTGTCTTTCACTATAAGGCCAACCTTTCTTTAAAAACAATTCCCTAATTGGGGCTCTCCTTCCTTGCAAGAATGATGCAAGTATTCATCAAGATTTCTAGCTCAAATTTCTCTAAAATGAAAAAGGGGTTAAAACCTTAATGAATTCATCTGAGTGTGGTACTGGCCACATCTCAGCACCTCCTTTACACTTTATGTTGCTAACTGAACTCAACAGCAGGCTTTAAGTGCCCTTCCCTAATTCTATTTCCAAAGCACCCACTTTAGATGCCCCTGGAATGTCAATTTTTTATATTCTACACATTGTTGGATTATACAGTACTTTTCAATTTATGGCATCAAAATGACAATCCAAATGGGATGGGTATATGGGATATACCCAAGTAAATTTTGCAAAACTTAAGACAGAGGTAAGGCTCAGTAGAAAATGATCTGCTGGGCAAGTGCATTCAGCTGACTGTGGCCAGGACATATTCTGGAGGGCAGCTGAGAGCTTGAAGCAGAGCTCAGCAGAGTCTCTGCTCTACATGCCTCCTTTGTTTCAGACACAAGTGCCTCTCTTTGCTTTTAGTTTTCCTCACAACCTCCTCGAAGGGCAGTGGCATCAAGGATCTCCCCTCTCCTTCCATGGCTTGCATACCTCAGCGTTATTTAAGCCTCTCATGTTGACAAACTACCATTAATAATTAATACTAAGATGTTAATAACTTTTGTACAGTAACGTGAAATTAAGATTAGTTCATTAAGTATATATAAATATATCATTAAGTATAAATCCTGTAAAGACAGAGAATAGCAGATTTATTCTGTGAAGAGCCAGATAAATATCTCAGGCTTATAGCCAGCCACCTTACACCTTTGTCTTGTGTCATACCTGTAGTCTGCTGTAGTGAGGGAGGTGTCCCAGACAATGCTGTACTTCTCCAGACATCTAGTGTGGATGGAGAGCAGCTAACATTTGGTTCAAAGTGTTACAATATGCTACCCACACAGAGGTGTGTTTTTTGTGAATATCAGATTCAATTTACGCAGCCTCTTATTCTATACTTACTATTACTATTTTTTTTTAGTTTTACAAATGAAGAAATTGAGACTCAGGAGATTAAAGAACCTCCAACTATTAATAAATGCTGAAATCAGAATACAAATTCAGAACGACCAACTCACTAAAGCCTTCTGAAAAGGCTTTCAGCTAATGTACCCAAAGATGCACAGAGAGTGGGCTGGAACAGAGTAACACACTGAGCTTCTGATACTGTATAATTTATTGATCTTGAAGAAGGATTGTACAACACTACAATTCAACAATGAATGTCTAGTAATAGAATACCAAACACTGATATGAAGAAAATATCAGATCCTGAGTGTCACAAATTAGGAATTTGTGAATTCCTAAAATTAGGAATCACTACTTTGCTTTTTCAATAAAGTAATATAATAGAATCTTAATAATGTGACTCAGAAAATGAATTACCTTCAAAATGTAACATTCAATATGTCTTACTAAACATTAAAATAAACGAAATTTTAAAATGGGAGGTCGGTAACAGAGTGGTTGTTTGGGGGTAGCCGTTGGAGGGAATATGAGCAAACAGAATTGCTCAACATATAGATGGGATTCATCAGGTAGTCACGTGGAGTCAGGGAGGAGACTGCTGCAGTGAGCTCCACAAGCAGCAGCAGTGCACTGCTTACCACTGACAGCAGTGCCAGGAAGAACCTGAGTAACGAGTCACAGGATTTACCTGTCACCTCTCACCCAAGTAAAAACTCCCTTCACTTCTGACTGGGGCAGACGGATTGGGGATAAATAAGGACAGAGATAAACATATGGCCTACACACAAATGTGTGTTTTCTGAGCTATTTGCTTCAGTTCTTTGAACTTAACAGAATTACTCTGAACTACACAGAAATGTTCAAATTTGAGCCAGAAAGATAACATGATGCAGAATTTACTATCATAATATGCAAAACAAGGTAGCAAAATAGGTTTTGCTTTAAAACATCTCCTCAGGAAATTGTTTTTCTATTAATCGAAATTTCTTTTTTACTGCAAGGTAAACAAAACTAACTGTAAATGAAAACCAGATCTAATGCTCTAGGGCAGTGTCTCTTAAGCAGGGGGTCATGACCCCTTTGGCAAACCTTTATCTCCCAAAATATTTACATTATGATCCATAATGGTAGCCAAATTGCAGTTACAAAGTAGCATAAAATAATTTTATGGTTGGGGTCACCACAATATGAGGAACTGCATTAAAGGGTTGCTAAGTTAGCAGGGTGAGAAGCTCTAGGGGCTGCAGACGGCTCGATGCTTAAGAGCCCTTGCTGCTCTTCAGAGGACCCAAGCTCAGACCCTAGGGTCTACCTGGTGACTGGAAAACCTAACATTGGAGTTCCAGCTCCTTAAATGACTCTCTTGGTCCACTCAGTGCAGTCCAAGGCACAGATGAGAATGGCCATGGGGACGCACTGAGGACAAACTGCAAGTGTTCATGGTCATGGGCTTCTGCCTTCCCTCTGTGACAGGGGCAGCTTTAGGGCTCCATAAACAGAGCTTCAGTGCCCATATGGCTTTGAGAAAAACTGGGTACAAAATGAAGTAAAATTTTAAAATAGTGTTTGCAAAATACAGATAGGTAGACAAACAGACTGAACTGACTGACAGACATACAGACCCCTCACAGTCTATGAAATGTATACTGACATGTAAAAAATATTGTCTATCTCTACTAAGTTCTGTATTTTGGTATAATAGTGAAAATTTCATAAGAATTAGGAAAGTGCTAAGTGTAGTTACGTATGTCTGTTAGGCCAGCACTCAGGAGACTGAGATAGGAGAATTATCAGTTTGAGGCCAGCCAGGGCTATTTAGCTAAACTTTGATGATATTGATGATGATGATATTGATGATGACGATGATGATGATATAACTTAGGAAAATATTTATATGTATTTACCTATATCACCAAATTCAGAGCAATAAACAGTCTCATTAGTGCACTGTTGTTAATTAGTTGGAAAGTCAGTAGGATTTCTGAGTTTAGGAGGTACTCCTGTATTCTAAAACTACTGCTATGGAGTCTTCAACACTGCTTCTTCGGCAGAGACTATTTAGTGGGTAAAGTTCTTGCCATACGAGGATAAGGACTAAAGTCTGTGGTTTCCCCCAGAGCCCATAAAAAAGCGCACAGCCCTGGCTTCTGTCTCTAATGCTAGCATTTCTGAGGCAGGGGTAGGTGAACCCTAGGGACTACAATTGGCAGGTTTTGGGTTCAGCCAAAAACCCTGGGTCAGAATGGAAAGTGATCAAGAAGATACCTGAACTCAATGTGGGCCTCCACATACATGTGCATCCTAACACACACACACACACACACACACACCCACCACTGCACAGTCTGAGTCATCCTCTGTAGGTGCACACAGTGGAACTTCCTATCAACCTTCACATTTGAAGTGTGGCGGGAGAACTGTCTGGCCCCTCAGACTTCTGGCTGGTTCTCATCCACAGTTGAGACCTGTCTATGTTTCTTTCCCTCCAGTTCCAACCAATAATCTGTATTTGTAATTTTTTTCTTCTTTTAAGCAGATTTAAGGTACTTAACAACCAAAAGAGCAGGACCAAAACAATGAGTAGGCTTTAATTTGAAATCTAAAAGGACTGAGCTATCAAAGCAATCAAGTCTAAAGCACAGAATATTATTTAAGTACACTGTAGCATCAGACCTCCTGATCACTGTTATCACAAATACCCTCTCTATTTGGAAACATAGAATTTGAGTGAAAGTGCATTCAATACAATTTATGCTATTTGTGTAGAAATTATTTTATTATATTTTTATTATATTAATAGAAATATTACTATAATGTCCATAAAACTAAAAACTGCATTTAACTACATTTTCTGTTACCATGAATTTTAAACCTATTTTAGGCAGAACACTTCCTTCTGATGACATCTTAGGTTGACGTGGATTTGAGGAGATTTACTTGGACTGAAGCTTGTGCATCTGTGAGCCTGCAGGCATGAAGCCCTGTCTGGTGGCCAGCTTATCCTCTGCTAGATTCTAACCCTGAACAGCCACTGTGGAGCCCTGTGTCTGCAGGAACTATGGCTGGAAAACCACACACTCTTCTCTGACCCAATGTCACAACACCAAATCAGTCAGTCTCTGTACCTGTGAGCTTTGAAGCTTTTCCCATCAACACAAATATCAATGTCAGGATAACACTGATTCACATAAAGCTTCAACAAATCTTCTCCCAATTCAGACACAGGTTCCAGGTCATAATCATCTTTAAAAGAGAAAACAAAAAGCAGCTCCTTTAATGTTAGACATCCCCAAATTTCATTTTCTAATGCTCGCAAGAGGTTTTCTTCATATTTTTCTCAATTAGCTAGAATACTTAAGCAGCAAATTGAAAATAAAGTAAAAACTTTTAAGTCACTTATATTTTCCATTTTGAAATATGTATTAATTAAATATACTTTGAAATATAGCTGTAGTCAAATATGTCAATACTATCTATCAAGAATGAACTTCATGACCATCTGAATTAGCAAGAGATATGTCTGCAGTATTGATGTTCCTTTCTAACACTCAGTCCCTTGCCTCCTAAGCTATTGCTTGGACACTGACTGGCCTCAGAGGTCCATCTGTAAACAGCCTAGAATATGCTGTGGCTCTACTAGAGATACTGTGGCCACTGACAGTGTGGGAACAAGTGGGAGGTGCTTTTGTCACCTGAAATGAATTGTCAGACCCTGGCCTCAAACTAGCTACATAGCTATAAATGACATTCATTCATGATTCTCCTGCCTCTAACTTCCAGTCTGCTAGGATTACAGCATTGTATCACCATGTGGCATTGGGAATTAAACTCAAGACTTCTTGCATGCAAGGCTGTCCCTCTGCCAACTGATCAGCACCCCAGCCCTCCTCTTCCTCTTCTGCTTCTCCCTTGAGGCAGCTTGTTCTGCCCAATATGTTCTACCACTCAGTCCCCTGTGTGTACCAGAGGCACAGAAGAAAGGTGAAGACCCCCAAAGAGTGAGCCTACGTGATGTGTGTGTGTGGGGGGGTGTCACCAGGATCTGGGGCTGCTGGGGGTTGTGAGCCACAAGGTGTGGGTGCTGGGAAACAAACTTGGGTCCTCTGCATCACTTAACCTCTTAGCCATTTCTCTACCACCATTCTCCCATCTTTTCTGGCAACAAATTGATTATCCTGTGACAGAAAGATGACTAACCTATGCTACTTCATGAACCTATGGCTAGTATGACATGTAGGCGAATAGACACTCAATGGAAATCAACAGGAAATGTGAAAGCACTTACTGTGAGGTCCACACTATAAAGAGCATGAAGACATGAAGATGTATAGAGAAATAAGAATTTTAAAAACTTCTTCCAAAGATTCACCTTTCAGGTAAAAGTAAAATATAATAATAAATAAAAATATATATAATAAAAGAGAAATAACTAATGAAAGTGAAAAAATTTTATACCATACGTCACAGATATGATATAGATCATTGGTATATCATAGTATGTATGTCACACTGTACTAAATCAAGTATGACCCAAGACTATTTCCCTACTTTGAGGTCCCACACCATGAACTGCCATCTCACTTGGCAAGTAAAACCTAATTTGGAAGTATGCATTTTTGGTAATGCAGCCAAACCTAACCCAATCACAAGCAGCCAACTGATCAGACCAGGGCCAAAGAAGGTAAGGTATAGCTGAAGCCAGTCATGGTATTTTTGTACTTGATCTCCATGCTCCATGTTAGGTCATGTATGTCCCTGCAGCTCTTTCCCTAGGTAAGAAACCCAGAAGCCGTGGTGTGCTGAGATCTAACTAGTACCCAGCTGTTGTGGTTTGACTATGAAATGTGTGTGTTACATTCTTCCAACCTCACCACAGGTTCATGCATTTAAACACCTGGTCCCTAGTTGGTGTACTGAGAATGTTATGGAACCTTTAGAAGGGGAGCTTGCTGGAAGGAGTGCTGGCGACAGGCACTGAACTTTTATAGCCTGGCCTTACTTCCTATGTGCAGATGAAATGTCATCACTCAGTTTCCTAAGAGGCTGGCATTAGGCCCTCTGCCATGCCTCCCCACATTGAAGGGCTGTATGCCAAATAAATCGGAAATAAACTGTTTGCCAGGGTATTCTACCACAGCAATGACTGGTAACTGACACAGTGGCTGACAACCCGAGTCATAGTGTTTGGCTCCTCTGTCCTTTGTCACATTAGGCTATTACACCCCAAAATACACAGTGTGAAAGTTCCTACCAGCCCCTAAAAACTCGCAAATCTGACATTTGCTTTGTTCACAGTATTTCTCTGAAGGCTGTCTTCTCTGCCCCCTGGCCTGTCACAGTGCCTCTTTCACTCCTACTTGATGCTATCCCTTTCATGAGACCCTCTAGGGGCTTTAGAAAGATGCCTCTTTATGTTTTGACCCTGTTTATGTTGCTTCTGGTTTTAATGCTTTCCTACCTGAAGGCCTGACAGTGACCCCCATGGTCTCAGCACGTACAAATAAAGACTTTTAAAGGACAACTTTGCATTAGCTCCTCTCAGGCCTCCCTTTCTCATTCCTAAGAACTTTGTCCAGTTTGCTTCTGAGTGCTGTCTGATTCATCAGTTGTTCCTTGTTCAACTAAACTCAACGACATTTACTTGCTCTTAGAATTGTCTTTTAACAAACCATATCTGATGAGTACTAGTTACTCAACACATTTCTACTAATCAAGCTCACGCAATACAAACTGCAATGGAAGAATTATGTAGCCCACTCTGAAGGGCCCATAATCCCGCCACCACTCACCACACCGGCTGCTCCATCCACATCCAACTCGATCTCCACAGCCTATTTTCAACAGAGCATCCAGAGCACAGTCAAGTCAGTTCAATGCCCCTATGGGGCTGGAGAGACAGCTAAATGACCAAGAGCATTTGCTGCTTTCCTAGGTCCTGGGTTCAGATCCCAGCACCAACAGAGAGGTTCAGAACTACCCATAACTCCAGTTCCAGGCAATCTAGTGCCCTTTGACCTCTGTACGAACATGGTGAATGCAGTCAAAAATACCCATACATATGACATAAAAATAAATGACTTTTAAAAAAGTCCCATCACCCACTTCATTTCTTTTGGAGTAAAACCCAGACTTTAGCGTTGTGCTACAAACCCCACAGCACCCGACTCCCCACGTCTTTCTGACTTCAGTCCATTCATTTCTACATCGGACTCTCCCTCTTATCTCCGTCCGGGGACAGCGCCACCTTCAGACTTTGTATGGAACATTTCTCTGCCTCGCGTGTTCTCCAAGGCACCTCGCCGGCTAGACTCCCCTTCCTTCTTCAAATCTTCAACTGCGATTTATTTAATGAGGCTGAAGCTGATGATTCTATCTAAAATGATGATTCCATCACTGTCCTTCCCGGATGCTCTCACTGCCATGTATCCCGACATTTCCATTTCTTTCCCATGCTAGTGTCCATCCTGCCCCACCATGAGTTCTCTAACCAGGTACAAGGAGCCAGTGATGCATTTCAGTCATTCCCTCAGACCTAGGACAGTGTCTAACACATCTCCTAAGTAGTCAATGAATAATGTGTTAAATGCTACATGTGCACCTGAAGAGCTAAGCATCAGGCAGGGGAAGATGCAGCCTCTACAATTCCTTCAAGAAACTTAAACCATGTAATACAATGGGAAATATGAAAAAAATGCTTGACACAAATGGAAAGGAAGCCAAGTTAATCTGATGGGTTACACTAAGTGTTACAACCTTCACCCGTGGACTCCAACAGTACTGAATCTGAATGTACTGCAGCAGTGGGTAATAAAATAGATACGCTCGGTCCAGTTCACCTGGATCCTGGTCTGTGAAAACTCAGAATTTCCTGAGAGAAGTATCTTTGTTGTCCATAAATGAGCCCTTAAGGACGACACCTACTTTAGGCTAACAGGCATATTAGGGTGCTGCCCCCAGATGACCTCGAGATGGGAATTTTCAGGAAGACTAAGCTATTCCAGCCTCTGGGCATCACAGGGCACAGCTCATAGCAGTGCATCTGCCTCCACAAGCAAGGTCCTGCTCTCATTCCTGAGCAGCACCACCAATACATGAAAAACAAAAATAAAACAATGAAAGAAAGGTCCTGGGCTCATGTTCTAGCACCATCATCACCAGAACAAACAAACATACACATCTCACAAAGAAAGAAAACAGGAAGGCGACAAAGCGATTTAAAAAATCCCTTTGGAAATGCATGGGAAATATGAATGCAGAGGAGAGCAACAGCAGCTCCTGCAGAGGACCAGAGTTCAGTTCTCAGCACCCACATCAGGCAGTTTACAACCACTCCTAACTCCAGCAGATCTGACACTCTCTTCTGGCTTCTGCACGCATGCACAGAAGCACACACACATGAACAAACAAATACCAGAACTTCAGAAGTTTCAACAGGAACACTTGAATTTGTCAAATAATAAGCAGTGCCCTGATCCCATGTAAACGAAGCCTCCAGTCATTTCACAGGTCTTCAGAGTCTCCAGCATTCATTTGCATACTCACATTAGCATAGTGTACAGCTGAGACCAGCATGGTTACCTGTAAGCTGAACAAGCACTGATTATTTCTTTTCTTGTCAATATTCCCTAAAAAGCAGTATAAGAACTATTTATGCTGTATTTAGGTATTCTCAGTAACCTAGAAATATAAGCATACAGGAGATGTAGAAATTGTACATAACTATGCTCTTCATATAGGGGATGTAAGCATCAACAGGCTTGGTATCCCGGGTGAAAGAAAACCCTAGAACCAGTCCTCTGTGAATAACAAGGTATCAATACATTTCCAGAAAGCCTTTCACTCTCTCATAACTACTCTGCTTTGGACAAACACAGTTACCCTTTCTGTATGACTCTCACAAGCTCAAGTCTCTAACTGCATCCTGCCTGTACCCTAACCCTCGTTCTCATTATAAATAAATAAGCCCATGTCCCACTTTTCCTCTGCTTCCAGGCAAGAAGTCCTGTATTTTGCCTGGACTATCCTTCCCTTAGGTGATTTTGCTGCATTAATTTGTTTTTCTTTGGGATTCAACCAAAGTGTATTCCAGCAGAGCCTGATGGTGCAGGCCTGCATAGGCCAGTAATTCCTGCTAAGGCAGGAAGATGACAAGCATAAAGCTTGCAAGGACTTCAGGGTGAGTTCAAGAATAGGCAACTTGGTGAACAGACTGGGGATACACTCAGTGTTAGACTACTTGCTTAACAGTGTAAACTAATTTTGATCCCTAGAATAAAACAAAACAACAGGAAAAGAAGTTACCTGTACCATACAACTTTCTCTGGAAGTGTAGTTCAGGTTGTATGTGCTCTGTATTCTCTGAACAACCTGTACCACACCCTCCTGACTGTCTCCAACAAGACTCAGGGCAGGAGCACTGCCTCGTTTGTTTCAATGTCACACAGCAGGTTCTCAATGAAAAGCTGTGACAATGACTTGAATGGCGTCTGTCACAGAAGTAAGGAGCAGCACAGAAGACACTGCAGCAGAGCACACTTCTTTGGAGAAAACATCAAGTAACTAACGGGACTATAACTCGGAGTGTAGGGGATTATGGGGGTTTCCATGCCACAATGGAGAAAGTGGTTGAGTAGTAAATGAGCCTTCTCTACGTAGGTTCACTGGCCACAGTAAAGAACTCCTGTGTGGCCTTGGCAGAACAACTCGTTATCAGACACTAACTTGTCCACTCTTCTGTGCTCTTTTGTCTCTTATAATCTCTGGGTATAAAATAACAAAATCAGTTTGTAACTGCTTCTTAGGGTTTTGAAAGACTCAATGAGAGTAAACATATGAATAGGTCTACTTCAAAATCAAGACTACTCATTTATTCATAATCAGGTGTTATGAATATAATAACAAATTCTAACCAGGATTCAATCAGTTTGGCTGTTACTCCTCATGAAACATGAAACACTAGTAACAAGATATTACACTATCATGTCCCATGTATAAACCCTCAGCATTTCTGAATTTGGTGAGTGTGTTGTTGTTTTTTTCTACTGTGATTTCACTGCACAGGCAGGGTAACATGAGGGCGCACCACAGTGTCTCATGGATTTAATGGCAATTAAGTGGCACTAAGGTGGCCCATGAATAATATAAGGTCTACTGTCTGATCCAAAGGCCTCAGGTTCCTGTTGGATATCTGCCTAACTAACTAATCTCCATTTTCTATCAATTAATAATTAACTTTCGATCTGCAAGCATTCTGATGCCTATTTCCACAAGAAAACAGTCATTTTCAAGATGCAATAACACACACATTTTATTATTTATGTACAATGAACATTATGAACAATTTATGTGTTTCTTAACCATTTAACCAGTAAAACTGATTATCATTTTTATAATCTTTTTAAATGCCTCAAGACAAAGTTTTCATGCTATGGAAGCTTTTGTGTTTCCTGGTAGTTTAAGGAATATATATGCTGTGCCAGAACTAGCTCTCTGTTTGCTAAAACTTCTCTTCTTATTGGGACAGATTAAAAGGAGGCAGTAATACTGAGGCTGAAGTAGTTGGAAAGACAGTGAGGAAGTCTATGTAAACATATTTACATGATTACTCAGGGAACCGGGAAGGTGACCGCAGTACCGCCTCCCTTCTCTGGGCGTGGCAAAGCCACTCTACCACATGCTCTTCTCCACTACAGAATATATCTAAGTGCATGGCTACAGAGTTTTATGAAAATCCAACAAACATCTCACCCTTGGAAATAAAACCGTCACCTCCACCAGTAATATCAATTTTGCATTTCCCAAGAAAACAGTCGGATGAAGTTCTACACTGCAGGAAGCTGACGTCCAGTCCCTTTTCTGGCATTATGCTTCCCACTTTGATTTTTTTAAGAATTTCCTCTTCATAGCTTTTTATGCTTTTGTTTGATGAATACACAATCCTAAAAAACAAAATATAAAGTATTAACTAGAATAAAGGTGATTTTTTTTTTATCTGTCTTTTTCTCTGAGACAGGGTCTCCTGTATCCCACGCTGGTTTTGAACTTGCTATGTTGCAGAGAGTGACCTTTGAACTTCTGCTCTTCCTGCCTCCATGTCTCACAAGCCGGGGTTATGGCTGTGTACCATCACATCCAGGGTATGTGGTGTCGAGGATGTAGCACTTGCTTAACATGCACAAGGCCCTGCAAACAAAACAAAAAACAAGGAAAGCCAGGACAAGATGGCCTCATTGGTAACTTTTACTAAACTCTTAAAGAATTAAATCTTTCGCAATTTTTATTTACAAAAAAGTAGAAGAGGAACAGGCAGTTCCCATTCATTCTCGACACCCAATATCACTGGGAAAAGGAGATAAAAGTAAAAAAGACAAAAAGCATAAGAAAAGAAAAAATGAGCCACTGCTCATGAGGATGATGAGGAAACATCCTCACCTGGGCACGGAGCAGCACACCTTCCCCTCACTGGGGAGGCAGAGGCAGGAGGACTCTGTCTACATAGCCTGGTCTACACAGCAAGCTCCAGTGCAGTCAAAAATGTGTAGAGACACTGTGTCTCAAAACAAAAAAAAAAAAGAAAGAAAAGAAAAGAAAGCAAGAAAGAAAAAAGTAAAGAAAAAAAGGAAGGCCATGAAAAGAAGGAAAACACCCTCAACAAACTGATAGCAAACTGAACCCGGCAACATATGGACGGGATTATACAACACAACCAGTGAAGATTTACTTCAGGAAATCAGGAGCAGTTAGACAAGAGGAAGTCAGAATTATTCACTGTGCAGACAGAATGAAGAACAAAAGCCATGTGGCTGATGCTTAGCACTGAGTGTCTCCTCAATGGCCATGAAACTACAGTGGGTCTCGTTGGCATGGTTGTAACTTGTAAGCAAGGCTATGTGTGGAGGACTTACAGGATTTAAGGGGAGAGGGGCTGGGGAGCTGGCTCAGTGGGCAAGGGCACTTACTACACAACCATGAGGACCTGAGTTCACATTCCCAGAACACACAGAAAGAGTTGCATCCTGGGAGTCTGCTGAGGAGCCAGCCTACCCAAACTGGCAAACCTCTGATTTAGTAAGGAACTTTGTCACAAGCCAATAAAGTGTAGCACTATCGGGAAACACGTGCTGCCCCTCTGGTCCCTGCAGGCACAGGCACGTGCACATGCACACTCACGTGCATGCCACCCAGGGCCATCTGAGAAAGCCAGAGTTGGTCAGGAGGGAGGAAAATGAGAAGCACAAACAAAAGCCTGGCTTGTGGTTTCTGTGGGAGGGAATGAGCAAAATGAGGTGGCACCTGAACAGGATTAGGAATCAGTGTGGGCGGGCATATGAGTGAGGGCTCGCTCTTGCCATCTGCTACCTGGCCTGGGGTTTAGAAGAGAAGGTTAGAACATAAGAACCAGATGGAAAAAAAAAAAAAGGTATGTTGCTGTGTACATGGACTCATGACAGGCTGGTTTGAAAATCAAAGACATGTTCACAGGCAAGTCATTTGCTGCATCTAGGAATCAGCTAACCCTGGAAGGAGCAGTCTCTCCTCTGATACAGTAAGAAACTCAGTGAGACCAGATACCAAAGCATCAAGAATACATGACTAAATGTTATAACTATAATCTCAGAAATATTTTTTAAGGATACATGGCTAGAGCTGAGTGGCATCTATGTAACCTCAGGCAAGAGGACAACCTGAACCCAAGAGCTCATAGACAGAATAGGCAACTTAGCAAGATTGCCTCTTAATAAATCAATTAGTTAATTAAAATAAAAACATAGCTGAGTATGTATCTCAGTGGTAGAATGTATGCTCAACATGAACAAAGTCCTGGATTAAATACTCACCCAAAATGCAGAAAACACAGCTAAAGAAGAATCTACTGCCCTCTTCCAGCCTGAGTAAAGAAATAAAAGAGGAGCTTCTGGGCTGGGTCTGTGCTAAGCTTCCTGAGACTTTATGGTAGCAGTTCTCAAGTTACTGAGGCCAGACTGAACACTAAGCACCTTTTTCTTTCTTCTTTCACGTGCATACACACACTCTCACAATAAGGACGTTGTTGTTGGGTTTTTGTTGTTGTTGTTTTTTGTTTGTTTGTTTTTCGAGACATGGTTTCTCTGTGTAGCCCTGGCTGTCCTGGAACTCACTCTGTAGAACAGGCTGGCCTCAAACTTAGAAATCCGCCTGCCTCTGCCTCCCAAGTGCTGGGATTAAAGGCGTGCGCCACCACCGCCCGGCCAAGGACATTGTTAAATCTTCTTGGAAAATCGAATATTACTTTACAATCTTAAGGTAAACTTTAATCTTGAGATGATGCACAACCTGGTTTTCAAACAACAGGCAAGTCAGAGTTTTAGAACTCTGACTTTTTTGTTTTATAGCTCACACCACTGCTGTAGAGTACGGAGCACAGGAGAGTTTTAGGCGCTTCATGGATACAGTGAAGGGACTTATAGATGACCGGATTTCATGTCACAAAACTTCAAAATGCTATTTTATCAAATTTCTTCTTTAAAAAGTTCAAATCACACCAGCTGTGGTAGTGCATGTCTTTATATCAGTACTCGGGAGGTAGAAACAGATGAATCTCTGTGAGTGTGACTCCAGCTTGATCTACATAACAAGTTCCAGGCCAGCCATGGCTACACAGTGAGATGCTGTCTCAAAATAAAATGAAATAAAATAAAATAAAATAGAAAAGGGAAGAAAGAAAAAATCTAAATCAATGTTTTCTACTGTAATATGCCCTTTAGGCTTTACGATAATGACAAATTTCAATGTAATCTGCTAGAAAATGAACGGAGGCAATACATCACAAGCACTTTCTCTATGCAAAGCAGAAGCTGAGGTGCCTCATGAAGTACATACACATCATCAGACAATCCAAGTTCAAGGAGCAGGATATCAATCACAGGCCTACCACTACTCAACGTTAACAGTGTGTGACTATGGATAAAGCACAAAACCAGCCAATCTAAGTTCCTTATCCTAGCTGAGAGCAACTACACAACAGGGCAATGCACAGTAGATGGCAGATATCCCCCTCCATCCCTGTCCCCAAGTGCAGAGCTTCCGTCACCCCCCATACACTGAGCCATTCTCGAGCTAACTATGAAGTGAGACTATGAACTATGAACTCACTTTGACTGACTGGCCTCAAACTCACAAAGACCTACCTGCCTCTGCCCCACAGTACTGGGATTAAAGGTGTGTGCCACCACGGCTTGCCTATTCCCTATCTTTTTCTTTAAAACAACATATTTATCTATATTATTTTATATGTATGAATATTTTGTCTGCACATGTGTCTGTATACCATGTGAGTGCCTGGTACCTATGGAAGTCAGAAGAGGGTGCTGGATCCCCTGGAACCAGTCAGGATGGCTGTGAGCCACCATGTGCATGCTTAGAACTGAACCCAGTGCCTCTGCATGAGCAACAAGTGCTCCGAACCACTGAGCCACCTCTCAGCTCCCTTCCCTATCACTTTTAATGATGGCAAATAAAAGTTACTATTAATGTAATTTCTCTGTTTTCCTACTGTGTAAGCTCTGGCCTACCCTCAGGCCTTTCCCTTCTTCCTTCCTTCTAAATGTCACTTTCCATGATTTATTGTCTCAGATGATGAGATAAGAGCCGTACCCAAGCGGTGCAAATACAGTCTGGCCCGAGCCCAAAGCAGTTCTTTCTCTATCCTAGGTCTAGGCCCTGAAGCTTATAGAATCTGTACAATCTAATCTTCCAAGATGACTAATCAAATGCAGCTTCTTTTGGCTTCTTACTGAATTGCTCTGCTTGGTCTCATACTAACTTTGGCATTGTCTGCCCCCACCCCGTTTGCCACCCCCTCACACACACCTCTCTCTAGTAGCCCCTCTTTCCTGTGCTGTTCTTGTGTGAGCTGGGCATATCCTATCTCTGACTCATTCTGTCAAATCTTTCTCTGATTCATCATTCTATCTGTCCCTCATTTAGACAACACTTTCAAACACAGCTGCTTCCTTCTATAAACTAGCCTTCCCTTCATAGTTAGAGATTAAAGGTGTGTAGTAAGGGCATGCCTATATATCAGACAGATAACACTGTGATCCAGGGGAGTGTCTGTATTCTGACTAGATACTCTAGATCTAGAAGGTCTTTGGATATAATCCCTTCCCAGAGCAGCCAAGTTGCATCCTTCCATCCTTTCCTTTCTTCTTTCCCTTCTTTCTTTCATGTTCTCTCTCTCTCTCTCTCTCTCTCTCTCTCTCTCTCTCTCTCTTCTTCCATCCCTCCCCCCTCTCTCTGTCTCTCTCTTTCTCTCCTTTCTTTCTTTCTGCTCCCCCCCAACCTCCTGGGAACATAGTTTCTCTGTGTAGCCCTGGGTGTCCTGGAACTCATTCAGTAGACCAGGCTGGCCTCGAACTCACAGAGATCTGCCTCCCAAGTGCTGGGATTAAAGGCATGCACCACCATGCCTGGCTTGCCAGGATTTTCTTTTAAATGTACAGTCCACAGCTGCATTTTACAGTGTCGACTGCTGTGAATAATGTCCAATAAACTTTGTGCCAGACCACTGTGTTAAGCACATTATAACTATCTCCTTTAAACCCAAGATGATTCCGTTAGAGATATATCAGTATATGTACATATTTGATAAAGAAGTAAATATAAGTGGTCAGTACAAGATCAGAGTTAGAAATGGTAGATGCAATGTGACTACAAAGCCTGTCCTTACCACAACTGTGCTGTGCTGGGGGAAAGACATACATTCTAAAATTGATATTTGAACTCAATGATAAACTAGCCAGCTGTACCAAAAATAGATAAATTTACTAAATTATAGTTACAATGTGTTTAAAGTATAGGTGCTTCACCTTAGAAACAATGACAAAACAAAACAAAAACTCTAGCAATTGTTAGAGCTCAAAATGAAGGGCCAGCAGCAAAATGGCCCAGTGAGAAAAGGTGCCTACCATCGAGCCTGATAATCTATTTGGTATCTGGAACCCACACGGTAGGAGAGAATCCCACAACAAAGCTGGTCTGCTGGTGTATGAAGGAGAGCTGAGGTGAGGGGGAGGTTATAAGAGAGGGGGGCAAGAGGGGAGGGAGGGGAAGGGAAGAAAGGGGGAGAAGTGGAAACTACCAGGAAATGCAGAATTCACTTCTCTCTCCCCGAGGACTGGTTTTTCCTTTCCTGCATGCTTTCTGGTACTGACGTTTAAAGGCCTGGCACATGCTTTGCATGCACTTGACCACTGAGCTGTACCTCTAGCCCAGGATCAGTTGTTCTTATTCATTTATTCATTCATTCAAGACAGGACCTCATTCTTCATTCATTCACTCATTTATGAATGACAGAGTCTTTGTATGCAATCCAGACTGGCCTCAAACTTGTGATCCTCCTGTCTCAGCCTTCTGATGCTGAATCACAGGCACATAAACCACATCCAGCTGTGGATCAGTCTCTGCCAATACTAAGCCTCTAATATTAACAAAACCATTTAAATGGATAGATTTTTATTAGATTATGTACATAATGAGAATATGCACAGATATTTTTAAAAAGTCAACTGTTTATCATACTCAAATGTAAGAGGAGTCCAGACGAGGCACTTACTGTAAAAATGCTTTAAATTCTGAAGCTCCAACACCATCCACAGGAACAAACTCGTTTGTTAGGTCACATGACGTGGGTCCAATGATGTGGGAATAAAAGCTGGGAGCTCTGGCTAACAAGACTGCCCTGTGCACTTTGAACAGCGAGCCACTGACAGAAAGAAGGGTGTCTGTGTGTATTTCTTCCCTTAAAAGCCTGTTAGGGAAAAGGATTACAGTTATATTAGTGATGCTAAAAATAGGTAACAGGTTTAAAACAACCTGCATACTTAGAAATGCAGCCAGAAGAAAGAGGATTTCATGAAAGAAATAAAAACATTTAAAATATTTTCTTAATTCTAGTAATAAAACTTATTTTCTGCCCTGTCCTGGGTAGTTTTATGTCAACTTGACACACACTAGAGCCATCTGAAAGGAGGAACCTCAATTGAGAAAATGCCTCCATAAGATCCAGCTGTGAGGCATTTTCTCAGTGTTTGATCAGGAAGGGCCCAGCCCATTGTGGGTAGTACCATCCCTGGGCTATGGTCCTGGGCTAAGAAAATAGGGGAGCAAGCCATGGACAGCAAACCAGGAAACAGCACCCTCCACAGCCTCTGCATCAGCTCCTGCCTCCAGGGTCCTGCCCTGCTTGATTTCCTCTCTTGACTTCCTTCAGTGAGGAACAGGAATGTGCAAGTGTAAGCCCAATAACCCTTTCATCCCCAACTTGCTTTTGGGTCATGGTGTTCCATTGCAGCAATAGAAACCCTAACTAAGACAGCTACTCCCACTGATTTTTCTTTAAAATGTACCTTCTTGAGTTCTATTAATGAACCAATTGTTCAAAAATCATACTAAAACTGAACCAAAACTGTAGACAGTCAACACAACGAACCAGACAACATCACACAATCCAGGTTAGAAACTAGTAACTGTTCTGTTAATGACCAAGTCTAAAATGCAACCTTGGATGTCAAGAATGTGACATTTTTTTGCCCTTTCCCCTTCCCACCCAACAGAATTAATCATGTTCTAATCTATTATTCAAAACGACAGACTCGGGAGGTAAACCCATTTGAATCCCTAGTGTATATACATAGTTATGGCAAAGTCCACTGATTATATGTCTATATAAACTGAAAAATAGAAAATAACAGAAAATTTCATAATCTATTCATTTGCTTCTTTATACTATGTATTTCTGCTCCCAACCTATTTAAAATACTTTATTTCACTATGCCAAATCACCAGTATCATCAAGGTATGGATTCTCAGAGGATTTCTGTATTGCAGGATATAACTGGCAATTGCACCGATGTACCACGGGAGGATCATGTACTGGTAAAGATATCCATTACAGTGAAAGCTTGGCAAGCTGCCTGTGACCCTCAGACTCCCTAAGGGCAGGCTAATGGCTCCTCTTAGCCCATTACACAAGGCCCACGCCTCTGTTACAGCGTTTCTGTCACTGCATCATTATTATTTGTATGCATCTCTCCCCACTAGATAATGAACTCCCAAAGGGCAAAAACAATGTGTCATTAGTATACAGAAAGTATCTGCTTGTCTACACATCCATTTTATGCTAAAGGAAACAAATGCTTCAGAAAGCAGAAGCTTTTGAAACCTTGCTGACAGCTCAGGCGCTGCCCGCGGTACCGAGCTCGGGCGTAGGCCTGGGGGATTAAAGAAATACTCAGACTCGGGTCATCCGTTATGAGAGAATGCCAAAACTTTTACTGAGCAGGTTCAATATGTACACCAAGCCAGGGAAGGAAAAACACAAACTCAGGAAAAAACAGGAACTCAACTGGGGGGCAATAGGATGTCAAGTATAAATTCCCTTCCTGGGGCACCATGTATTAGTCAGGATGTGAAAAAGCAGGAGCTCAACTGGGGGGCAATAGGATGTCAAGAGTAAATTCCCTTCCTGGGGCACTGTTGGGAGCCGACTCCTAGCCGAAAGCGGCTATCATCTTTGCAGCCATCTCAGGCCATAGACCCTGACAAGAGACTTGTTTTCAACAGCCCGAAACAGCTGAGCACACTCTGATAAACATCTTGTTTTTCTCACATATCTTGTTTTGTTGTTTAGTGCCCCCAGCTGCAAGGCGCACTTGATGTCCACGCTGCTGGGTGCACGTGGTCTCCTCACAGCTAGCTAGGTGCACGTGATATCCACGCTGCAAGGCACATGACGTAGTGCCTTCAGCTGTGCTTGTCCACGAGGGCAAGGCACGTGGTAAAGGGTATAAATACCCAGGATTTCCTTCCAATAAACGAGACTTGATCAGACTCCCTGTCTTGTCTCCATTCTTCGAGTCTCCGTCCCCACTCTCTCTTGCTAGGCCCTGACCCGCGGACCGGAGCAGCAGAACGGGCGGTTACAGGGCACCATGCCTTAGTCGGGATGTTTTGATCCTAGAGGAACCGCAGAATGTTACTTAGTAGACAGCAGCGTATGGAAAGGCTCAGCCAGGGCATAGCAGCCCTTTGGGGTCCTACACCTTGCAAACAAGTTTGGCTTGGTCAGTTTTTTTCCACGGATTGTTTTTAAAGATAACTATATTAAAGTTTTAGGTAACTAACTTAGAGTTGCACAGTGCTGGGCTGAGCCCCACCGCTCATCAAGTGGATACAGACTTCCTACTCTAGAGGCTCACGCTGAGACTAGTCTTTTTGTTTTGTTGTTTTATTGAGATTTCTCTGTGTAGCCCAGGTTGCCCTGGAACTCAGTATATCCTGGAGCTCTATAGAGCAGGCTGGCCTGGAACTCACAGATCCGCCTACGTCTGCCTCCTGAATGCTGGAATCAAAGGTGTACACCACCAATGACCAGCTCAAGCCCTGAATCTTCTAATGTGGCAAGTTCCCTGGAGAAAAAAAATCTGATGTTTAGGTAACTTTACAGAAGAACCTTCTTATCTACATAAATACGTTATAAGTCTACTCTGTAACAGTACCAAACATGGCTATTTTCTCTAGACATACCTGCCATACATTTTGATTTATACATTAGGCACATTATGATAAAATAGAATACATACAATAATATACTACAATCAAACTTACCCAAAACTTAAAAGTATGTTGTTTTCTCAAAATTTTACTGAAATCTCAAATTATATACCCAACTTGTCCTCTCTCCTAACCATCTTCTCTGCTGACCCCACAAGCCTGGAATTCAGACGCACCAGAGACTGAAGCTGGAGAAAGCTTATCCTGGGCCGCTCTTGGCTGGGCCCACCTGGTTCATATTAGACTGCTTCAAAACAGCAAAAGTAGATCCATGAGTAGCCAAACAGCAATGGGAAATCCTGTCCATAACAGATGATAACCGGAGTGTGTGTGTGTGTGTTTTAAAGTAAGCAGCATGTAAATGTGAGTGTGAGAGAGAGAGTTTTTTTATTTGTAAAACCACTTGTATCAGGTGAAAGTGTACTGTGCATTTTAAGTTAAAAATCTTAAACATTAAGGAGTGCTTACTGGCTCACCCCAAAGTAACAGCTAGAGACAAAGACTGGAGTAAAGGCCTAGTGTTGCAAAAGCCCAGCTTATTTCCATCCTTTGCCTTCGATTGTTCTGGCCTGCCCTGTCTGTCTTATATTGCTGTAACAGTATACCACAGACAAGATGTTTACAAGAATGAGTTTATTGGCTCACAAGTCTACAGTCAACTTCTGGTCTCAAGGTGCTAACATCTGGTAAGAGGCTCCATGCTTTATCGATTGGTGGATGGTAAGAGAGCCAATCTTTTGCATAGTGGCGTGTGTGCGTGTGCAAGAGTGTGAGTGTGTGTGCTCACACATGTGCCCATCCATGCAGGTCAAAGGCTAATGTCAAGTAACTTCCTTAATAGCCCTCTACATTTTTACTTTAGGACAGGGTCTTCCACTGAACCTGAAGGCCAACAAAGGCCCAGAATCATCCTGTCTGCCTTCCAAGGGCTGAGATTACAGTGTATGCCATCATGCCCAGCTTTTACATAGGTTCTGGGGTACTGAATTCTGACCTTCATACTTCAACAGCAAGCACTATACTGACTGAGTCATCTCCCTAACTCCAAATTCACTCTTTAACTAAGGAGCCAGTTTCACTCACAAGGATGGATTGTTCAAGGCCTAATCCCGATTTAAGGACCTACTGACAGTTAATAACAAGCCAATGACAGTTATAAATTCCAACTTGTACTTGAAAAGGACAAATATTCAAATCAAAGCATAACTTATATAAAGCACTTCAGACTTCTACTGAGGCTTAGTTACCACTAAGCATTTTGTAAGTATGAACAATGCACTAAGAACATAAAGGCTAAAACATAATGCTTGCCCCCTGGAGTTTTAAGCACAGTAGAAAAAGACGGGTCTGGAAATTAAAAGACATGATATATTCAATGGCAAATACACTCCCTGACCCTGACCTCCAACCACCCCAGACAGACACCACACAAGACTACAAGATATGTTGGGTGACAAGACAGGAACAAATTGTCCCGAGAGACTCTACCCAGCAGCTGACTCAGACAGACACAGACACCGACAGCCAAACAGTGGATGGAGCTTGGGACTCTTATGGAAGAATAGGAAGGAGGATTGTGGGCCCTGAGGGGGATAGGAACTCCACAGGAAGACCAACAGAGTCAACTAACCTGGGCCTTGGTGTTGGGAGCCAACTCTGAGCAGAAAGCAGCTATCATCTTTGCAGCCATCTCAGGCCATATACCCTGACAAGAGACTTGTTTTCAACAGCCCACAACAGCTGAGCACACTCTGATAAACATCTTGTTTTTCTTACATATCTTGTTTTGTTGTTTAATGTCCCCAGCTGCAAGGTACACATGGTAAAGTGTCTTCAGCTGCATTCCCCTGCTTGTGCTTATATACACCCATGATTTCCTTTCAATAAATGGGACTTGAACAGACTCTCTGTCTTGTCTCCATTCTTCTTGTGTCTTGCCTCTCCATCCTCCATCCCCCCCCCCTTCTCTCGACCCTGACCCTCTGACTGGAGCAGCAGCTCAGGCCAGGACACCTTGGGAATCTCAGAATCTGAACCACCAACCAAATAGCATACACAAGCTGAACCTAGGCCTCTGCATGTATGTAATAGATGTACAGGCTTGGTCTTCATGTGGGTCCCAAACAACTGGAGCAGGGCTATCCCAAAAGCTGCTGCCTATATGCAGGATATGTTCTACAAGCTGGCTGCCTTGTC